GAGGAAGGAAGGAAGGAAGGAAGGAAGGAAGGAAGGAAGGAAGGAAGGAAGGAAGGAAGGAAGGAAGGACGAGCCAGAATCCCAGGCAGAAGTTGAGGAATTTGGAGGATACACCAGTTATCTCTATTCATATGTCCCCAAATGGCATCATGAAGCAGAGAATGACTCTGCTTGAGCACCGACCTTGTACTTGGTACTACAACAGCCTCTATTTCATAGGCCCCATCCCAGGGATGGATCTAGAAACACCCAGCAAGCTCTTGGTTTTTCTCTGGAGGAAACAGAAGCATCCCTACTGCCTAGGATGAAAGAAGGCCTCCCGGGCTTCCCTAATGAAGGTCATTATAATCACAGGTCACCCTAAAAACGGGGGGTACATCATCCCCTCACCTCCAGCCACATGTCTCAGGCAGGGCAATGTGGCATCTGCTCCCTTCATTCCTGGATGATTATTTGAAAAGCTTTATAATCATCATTTTAAAGCAAATTAGATACCGCTGTCTCCTTGGACTTGTTTTGAACCAGGCAGCCAAACCATTCATCACAGCCCAACCCAAATAATAGATATGCAATAAAATGAAAACTCACGGCCATTAAGGAAGCCACAAAATGAGTTACCCCAGCTATAAAGGCTTGACCCGCAGGCATTTGGAGCACATGGGCTTGACATGCAGCCACTTAGAGTACACGAGGATCAATGGTTTTTCAACGTCACAGGAATGCTAAACTAAATTCCCATAGTAGATTTATGGTTCGGTGAATTTTACATAGGTAAATGAGACATACAGGTACAACTTATTACCCAGCAATCGATGGGCATTACAGGAATCTCACTAAAATAAAAATAAAAAAGTCATATCTCAGACATGTCAGCAACATTTTGGATTCAATTTTAAGAACTAGAGCTGATAGTCTGGCAGCAGCTAAAAGTTTGGAATTTGATTTTCTAGTCTCTATTTTTATAGCATCCTTGGGTGCAAAGCACCCAAAATGGATTCTTCAAGGTGACTCCCGTCCTATAGCACCCCACCCCCTTTGGTTTTTGGTACCAAACATTGAACCCAAGAGCACTTAACTACTGAGTCACATCCCAGCCCTTTCTATTTTTTATTTTGAGACAGGATCTTGCTAAGTGCTGAGGCTGGCTTTGAACTTGTGATCCTCCTGCCTCAGCCTCCTAAGCCACTAGAATTACAGGAATGTGCCACCATGCCCATCCCCTATAACCTTTTGAAGCAGGCTTGATTGTTCTATTAAAGCTTGATGGTTTGGGGTCTTTTTCCTACAGAAGTGGCTTGTATTTAAGAGTTTTTGAGATCGGGTGTAGGGGGGCTCCTACATCAAGCCTTCCCTTGTGGCTGGCCTGGCCCTTGCTGGATCAGTGTCTGTCATAGTCTGCAGCTAGTTGAGGGTGAAATCAGAAATCCCATGGCTAGTAGCTGCCCATGCTCAGCTGAACTGGCTCATGGTAGGGCTGTAGCTCCTTCCTGGCTCTGAAGAATGGTAATGTTCTGGATCGTCAGGACCACAGGGCCCTGGCTGGGTGGGGGTTGGATCCCCTCCCTCGCTTCTGCTTATAAGCTGCCGGCAAACAGGAAGATAACCCTCCCCCAAGATAGGGCTTTGGGCAGGTGATAGAGCCATGGAAATCAGTTCCATCTCTTTCTATCAGATGGAGCTAAAGCTTCCAATCACCTGTCACCATATAGGGACCAGAATGAAATAGGAGGTGGCCCCTCACCCCCCTCTATCACCTAGCATGCTTTTGGCTTCCTAAATCAAAGGCAGGTCTAAGAACTCCTGATAGGCTGTGATCTCAAGATAGACCCCTGTCCTCTCTTCCCACCTCTCCAGCAAGGAGCAGAGGCACCCAGCCCTGCTGTGGCAGGAACCCAGGCTCCAGGGTGGTTGGCGAATGAGATCCCTGGCCCTGTCTGTTCATCACAGTCAATTAATTTAAAAGTCACTCATCTAAAAAGCTTCTCAATTATGCATGTTTTGCACTTTCCTGAGTGCTCAGGTTGGGTTCATGGGAAAAAAAAAAAAACATGTTGCTTAAATGAGGATTTTTCTCTCTTTAAATTCATTATAAGTTTCTTCTGCTTTTTAGAAAGATACTTGTCCTTTTAATTAATCCTTCGAGGGCAACCCCAGTGAATGTGCTGGATGCAAGGGAAGGGTTTGAGCAGCTAGCCGTGCAAGATAAAGGGCTTCCCATGGTAATGTTCTGGATCGTCAGGACCACAGGGCTCTGGCTGGGTGGGGGTTGGATCCCCTCCCTCGATTCTGCTTGTAAGCTGCCGTCAAGCAGGAAGGAAAATGGTGTTTTCATCTAATCAGTGCCCTATTTCTGTAGACAAGGCAACTCTGAATCTGATGGAATGGTCAGCTGGTGAGGTCAGAGTTGGTTTTCTGCCTTTGTTACTGCAAAGTGGTGTGGCTTCCCTGTCCACGTCCTTATCCTCTAGATGGATAATGCCTGGCTCAGGTCCAGACTTCCACACAGTGTACATCAACCGGTCCTCACACTGCCCTGGGAAGAACAAAATGGCCAGACAAAATGGCAGCAAGCATCCTCACTAACCAAACCTATTTAGCTCTTTACTTTGGAAAGTGAGTTCAGACAGGAAGTTCAATGAGAAGGATAACTGTTTTATCCAACCCCATTTGGTTCCTGAGTCATGAATAATGCATAGAAAGATTATGGATCGCATGAGGTTTGTCAAGACTTCTCTCTGGATTTCCTTGGAGATCTG